TCAGGTCGTTGCTGAACAAGATATGAACAACCAAAATGAAATATTCAAAACGAACAGACAAAAAAGGCTTCTTTTAAAAAGAATTGAGGGTAGCGGGTAATTTATATATTGTATATTTAAAGGAACTAGCAACTATTGAATGCAATTAATCCAATGCAAAGCACCGTGTAATAAGTTACGACAATGTGAAAAAAAATGAACTGATGATATTCTCGACACCGGTATAATGAGGTTCAAAATGGTTAACATCTGTGTAATTTGTCTTCATTGCCTTTTTAACACTTTGGGATGAGTCTTAAGAATACCACTGCTTGCAATACCAAAAGACGTTCTAACGCTCCACATCCTGACACCCGCTGTAGATGCCTAGTTCCGGCTCGTTGAACACGTTTTATAGAAAGGAACGGGGAGGCCAGTGGAAAAAAAACGTGCCACTCAAAGGACATTCAAAAGTGCAACAAGGCGTACAAAGGCAGCTGATACTAGGCATATGTATGGAGATTAGTAGCTGACATTTATGGATGGTGGTCACAAATGTAACGAGAGCACTTTTTGCCTTCTGTCATGCGAATCAAATCCTTATGCATCACTGCACAACCTAGCCATCAAATACGTCCAGGCGTAAATTGAGCATTTGGAATGATTTGCATAATGTCGGGGAAGTTCTCAACATTTTTCAGTGTAAGAAGGTACGGTTACATGAATCACTGTCAGATTAGCACAAAAATTAGTAGCATATCGTGTTATATTGTTAATAAAGAAACCCATAAACTATAGGAAGTATTACGTTCAGCTACGTGACAAGCATGCTTATTCTCGTTTCGGCGACGAAGCTTAAGGCAACACTGGAATCCGGGAGAAATACGTTCAAATTGCTTTAGATGTCTGCAGATCTATATGTGGCAAGTTGCATCCTGTGATCATGCTTCCTTTGATTATTTAGAACTGACAGAAACACAAAGTATCATGAGAAGGCAAGTGGCAACAATATTCATCAGAAAGGAACAGATTACTTTAGGAAATGAAAGGTCTTTCAGAGGCATCCAATTTTGCACAGGGCGGACTATAAGCACCTGCCATGGTTCACAATGTTTGCAAAATTGATAGGCTAGGTCGGGGCCAAATCAAAGCTCTCAACTAATGTCATCGAGGTTAGGACAGGGGTCAATCCAGGATTGCATTGACGAGGCTGTATGCAAGACCAATCTTATGGGCTGAAAGATGGGTTATCCGGAGTCATAGCAACGAATGTAGCGAGCGGCTACAGCTCATTAATCGACAGATAACCGACATAATCACATAAACAAATAAATACTAGGTTATGGGTACATGAGCACAGAGCACCATCGGTCAATAGGTAATCACTTGGCGGTCTCTCTTGCTCACTGTCAATGAAAAGGGGGTAATTCATGTCATGCTTATAGAATATCACAGCCATATGTTGGGAAATAATTCTCGAATATCGACAGCATTAGGGACCACTGCACCACACCGTTA